AGCATTTCTATGATTTAAGTTAAAACTGGTTTTCTTAATAGTACCATATGAACTTACCATTGAAAGTAGTTAGATTATTTAAGAAATTGTGTGATCAATACAATGTGGGTGGAAAAGGAATAGAAGACAATTATAGACACCAGAGACAGTGGGAGAAGAGGGTGGGAAAGGACAGAGGGTCAGTAAGAGGGATAGAAAATTTTGGATAATAATATGCATGATTAAGTTACTATGCAGTATATTCTAGATGGGAAATCACATTTTGTATGCTATGATGATGGTTAGGGAAAGAATGTAAATTAAGTTACAAAAAAAAGAAAAGTTTCAGAAAAAAAAAATCCATTCGATGACTGCAGTTAAGATATATAGCCCCAGCTAGGTGATACTTTATAGGATGCCTAAAGTTAGACTTGTGTTCATGGAAATGTATATATCAGCTGTGTTCGCTATGAAAACATTTAGATTAATTAAGATCTTTAATAATTCAATAAAAAATGGGAGGAAAACAGTATAGAAAGTAAACATAGATACCAGAGACAGTGTGGGAAGAGAGTGGGGGATGGCTGAGGGTAAGAGATAGGGAATCAAGGATAGGGGGGGACCAAAACATACAGGAAACAAGAAATGGAAAATTATTTGTTGACAATAACATGTATGTTGATGTGCTTGATTGAGACAATATACAGTGTACCCTGGATGGAAAATCTCATTTTGTATGCTGTAATGATGTACAGTGAATGAATGTAAACAAATAAATTTAAATTTTAAAAAAAGTGCCTTTTCTCAGGTTCTCTTTGATGTATTTAAAATGTATGGAGCAAAGCAAAAACTGTACATTTTCAAATTAGCCTAATGATTTGGAATGGTTTCCATTCCAAATCGTTAAAGTAGACACAGAGCTTCGAGAAATTCCAAATAATCCAGTTGCTAATGTGATTTGCTCAGTTCCCAAATAGGAGTTTCAGGCCACTGTCAATCACTCTATCAACTTCTCTGGCTACCTCAGAAGCCTTTATGGCAGCAGATCTCAAGACTGTCAGTTTCCCCTTGCATTCCCTTCCCTTTAAATTTTGACTCCAGGTCTTTCTTGTATTCTTTCTGTAAAAGGCCACATTTTACAACCTTCAGACACTCAGTGGACAAGCACATCTGTAGTTAATGATATCAAACAACAGTTGAACATATTTTTTAAAAGCGAGAAAACACAGCTTAATTTGGACTATGAATGACCACACAGAATGAAATTCTCTAAATTGCCTATAACTATACTACTCTTCTCCCTGAAGAAGCGTACATACAGCTCTGAGGATTTTTAGTATAAAAAAAAGGCCATTTCCAGGTGAGAATCTTCCCTGGCGATTGTCTTGGGGCCAGTGCAGGACAGGGAGGCAGATACAAATGAGTTGATATTATAGTGAGAAGACTGACCTGAAGGCCCCACACAATAGCTGTGTGACCCTGGGAACGTCTCTTAACATTTCTGGTTTACTCATCTGCAAAATGGGTATAATAAGACCTCCATGCAGGATCCGCTGTAAGAATCAAGGACACAGCATATACCATGGAGGACAGCACAGGAGGATGCAACACCTGACGCCTTCTTCTGGCCTTTCATTTCCCTGCTCCTAGGCCGCCAATTCCTCCTTCTCGTTCTACGGCCTGACTTAGTGCTGTCCCAGCTGCTATCTTCCATTCAACTGCATCTGGATGGACTCTGCCATTGAGTTTTAAATCATTTTTCTAGGGACTAGCAGATGGTGTAATGGTTTCGCCACTGGACTCCCACATGGTCCACTGCAGTTCGAGTCCTAGACTTAGTGATTTAAAACTCATGCTGGCGCGTGTGCGTGCGTGCCCAAATATCTGAGAGAAGAGTAGAGGAGAAGGGTCTGTGGCATGGCCATTCCCCCAGGGGGTGATTTCTCGCTTTCTGTCTCTCTCTCAAGCACCCATGCCCTATAGTAAAAATCTCTCTCTCAAAAAATTGTTTTTTCTTTTTCTTTGGAGAGGTTTTTGCTATAGGGCGCGTGCGTTCGCCAGACAGACAGAGAGAGACAGAGAGACAGAAAGCAAGAAATCACCCCTCGGGGGGGATGGCCATACTGCAATCCCTTCTCCTCCATTCTCCTCTGGGGATCTTGGGCACGCACACACACATGCCTGGCGTGAGTTTTAAGCCACCGTGTCCGGAACACGAACCGCGTTTGACTACGTGGGAGTTCAGTGACATAGCCATTACGTTAACTGCTGGTCCCCAAAAAATTGCTTTTTCTAAGCACTACTGACAACAGGTTACAAGACTGACCTCTGACTGTGGACTGGACATGTCCCAGTAACAGAAGAACTTATAGAAAATTATTAATATAGGGATGACATGATGACAACGTTAGTCAGAGACCTCGCAGTGGACATCTGTGCTGACCCCTGCCCAGCATCCATTCCTCTTTCAGGGAATGGACTCTAATTTTTCTTCATTCATACAATTTTCAGGAAATTATTTCTATTACTTCCCTATTCCCCACGAAAATTTTTAATTCTCTTAAATGCTTTTTGAATATTTCCTTTATTTAAAAAATATGAACGTAGCCAGGATTAATGTGAATTTTTAAATAAAATGGAGACTATTTTATACTTACAATACTGTTAAACTACCTAGGAAGTTGACTGGCCATGGACGGACAGTCAGTGCACACCACTCTCCTGCCCAGACACAATGACCGGGCAGGTGTGAGCACAGGACAGAGGTGGGCCAAGGAAATGCAGTCCTCAGACCTCCATGGGAATATAAGAAAACAGCTGCTTGCCTCCCACTGGGATTACTGGCCACCGAGAAGAGTTTTCCTGTCGTTAAGGGACTCATCGTACGGAGACAGCCTCCTAAGAGTGAAGCCAATAGTGCCAGTAACAGAACAGAGGGACGAAGGGAGAACGAGGCACATCTGAATTCCAATTCAAAGGAAACCCTATCTTCGGATTTTTCTGTTCTACGAGCTGCTACCTGTTCTTGTTGCTCAGCCCAGTTTGATCTAGGTTCCTGTCATTTGCAACCTGATGAACAGACTCATCATCATCATTACCTCAGTTTGTCCAAACATGGGACAGGGCTAGCAGGTGGTATGGAGGTTAAGGGGCGGGATCCCACATGACCAACTTCTTGGTTGGAGTCCAGACCAGGAAGCTTGAAAATCCCACCAGACGCATGTGCATGATGCCCCAAGTCCCGACAGGAGAATGAAGAAGGGACTGTGACATGGTCATCACCCTAAGGGGTGATTTCTCAATACCACCCCCACCGCTGTCTCTGTCTCTCTCTGCAAGCACACATCCCCTTTTGCAAAACTGAAAATATTGACATAAATGGGGTCGGAGTTCCAAGTTCTTTCATTTGTAAATTTAGCTAGATCCCCTTCAAAGCACAGTACTGTCATATGATACCAAAGTAATGACATCCTACAGGGATTACAGGACTGAAAGCACTTTAGAAACACTCCATTCCTCACATAAAATTTATGCAAAGTGAGTAGTGACCACTTCTATCTGATAAAAAGGCTTCACTAGGCTTGCTCAACAGCCTAGACAAGGATGGGACAGTGGTGGGTTATGAGGAGGACAGCTCGTGAACATTAAACTGCAGTCACTGATAGACAAGAGCATACCTTCTTAATCTTCTGCTTCTTACTTATTAAAAAATCAAGAAAAGGGGCTAGCAGGTGGCATGGTAATCGAGGCACTGGACTTCCAAATGGCCAACTGCAGTTCGAGTCCCAGACCTGGCAGCTTACTTTCTCACTTTCTCTCTGTTGCTCCCTCTCTCTCTCTCTGTCTCTCTCGCGTGAGCACATGTGACCTATAGCAAATTAAAAAATAATAATAAAAAATAATTCTTAAAAAAAAGATCACGTCAAGAGACCAGTCAATGGCAGAGCAGTGACATAACACTCCACAATGCAGAACCCACACAAGAAGGTCCCAGGTTCATACCCCAAAGCCTCCCTGTGCATGCCAGACACGCACCTAGCAGGCCCATTATCCAGGATGGCTGAGGCTGGGGTGGACTGCAGCATGAAGATCCTGGTAGGAAAGTCAGTCTGTCTGTCTGTCTGTCTGTCTGTCTGTCTGTCTCTCTCTCTCTTCCTCTTTCTCTCATGGAAAAAATAAGTAAAAAAACTTTAAAAAAAAAAAAAAGGAGTAAGTCAAATATTATAAAACTATTTAGGTTTCTTTCTTTCTTTCTTTCTTTCTTTCATTCATTCATTCTTTTTTTTTTTTTTAGATTTTTGCTATAGGGTGCATGCCCTTGCCAGAGAGATAGTGAGAAATCACCCTCCCAGAGGATATGGACACACCAAAATCCCTTCTCCTCCATTCTCCTCTTGGGATTTTGGGCACACACGCACATGCTCCTGGAATGAGGTTCAAGCCACCAGGTCTGGGACTCAAACCACAGTCAACCGTGTGGGAGTCCAGTGCCTTAACCACTACATCACCTGTAGGCCTCCAAAGACTTTTTCTAAGATGGAGAAATGGCCATTTTTCTCAGAACATATAGAAATAAAAGAAATTGCAAGTGCATACCCATATATACTTTTTTCTTTTTTTTTTAGTTTTTTGCTATAGGGTATGTGTGCTTGCTGCAGAGAGACAGAAAGAGGGAAAGTGAGAAATCACCCCCTGGGAGATGGCTGCACTGCAATCCCGTCTCCATTCTCCTCTCAGGATTTTGGGTACACATGCACATGCAACTGACATGATTTTCAATCCACAGGGTCCGGGACTCAAACCACAGTCAGCTATGTGGAAGCCAAGCACCTTAACCATCAAGATACCAGTGGGCCTCATCAGTATATACTTTTTAATTCATTCTCTGGGAAAAGGTGACTAGTACATAGCTGCTTATGATCAGCACACATAAAAGTTGTGGTGTATATATAACCTTTGAGAAACACAGGTAAGGGAATCAGCTGGAAATGCATATAAAGTTGTCAAATGAAAACACTCACCTCACTAGCCATTTCAGACGCTCGTTTTACTCTTTGAATATCAAGAACTTCTGAATTAAGTTCCATCCCTTTTCCTTTTATTTCATTTTCTAAATCTTTCTTATATTCTTTCTGTAAAACAAGAATAAGGCGGTTCAAAGCTTGCCCGGACTCACTTTAACTGATGGATTGTTCTGTACATTTCTGTGACCACAGAAAGGAGGTTTGCTACCAGGAAGGGAGGCTTCGGGGGGGGGGGAGCTCTTGTGCTTATTTCCTACGAACACTTCACGTTCTAAGTTCAGAGCAGGTTCCTCTGTAACTATCCTTTCCCTGCCACACTTTTCCCCAATGTGTTGGGGTACCATACTGGACTTTTGTCTTCATTTTTTTAAAATGTAATTGCCAGAGAGTGTATGCCCTCACCGGAGAGACAGAAAAAGAAGTGAAAAGCACCCTCCAAGAGGGCATGGTCAGGCGACAGTCCGTTCTCTTCCATTTCTCCAAATCATCAGGGTTTGGGGCACATGCTCACATGCACCTAGAGTGTTTACAAGCCGCCATGTCCAGGATTTGAACCTTGGTCTGTCATGTGGGATATGACTTTCTAAGTCACTACACTATAGAAATGCCCCCCCTCCCCCGGTGGATATTTTAAAGATATCTTCCCTTTAAAAGGTGAAAAAGATCTTAAAAATACATGCTTATTATTGAAGTATTTTTTGAACACTGTAAAGTATGAATCATCAGAAGAACATAGTTCAAAAAAAGAAAATTACAAAATCAAAAGGACTGATGGAGGGGCCAGCAGGTGGTGTGGTGGTTATGGACTGGGCTCTCACATGGCCAACCATGGTTCAAGTCCTGGACCTAGTGGCTTCCTTTCTTAGTTCCCTTGTCTCTTTCTGTCTCTCTGGTTAAATTAGAAAAATAATAATAATGATTAATAAAATTAAGTAAAATTATTTAAAAAAAAAAATTGATGGAGCCAAATTTTTTTTTCAAAAGTTCTCGGGGCCAACAGATGGTATAGAGGTTAAGGTGCTAGACTCCCACATGGCCAACCATAGTCTGAATTCTGGGCCAAGGGGCTCAACACTTTTTTATTATTTTTTTGAAGAGGTTTTTTGCTATAGGATGAACACACTTGCCAGACAGAGAGAGACAAAGAGACAGAAAGCAAGAAATCACCCCCCAGGGGGGATGGCCACACCACAATCCCTTCTCCTCCATTCTCCTCTTGGGATCTTGGGCATGCACGCACATGCACCCGGCATGAGTTTAAGCCACTGGGACTCGGACCGCAGTCAACTACATAGGAGTCCAGCGACATAGCCATTATGCTAACTGCTGGTCCCTCCAGGGGCTCAAAATTTAAGCCAGGCACATGTGGGTGTGTGTCCAAAGTCCCAGGAGGAGAATGGAAAAGGGATTGTGGTATGTGGCCAGCCCCCAAGGGAGTGATTTCTCACTTTCCCTATCTCTGTCTCTCTCCAGAAAGTGCATGCATCTTATGCTAAAAAAAAAAAAAAAAAAAAAAAAAAAAATTCCCACCAAAGTCAAAGATTTATAAAAACCAAATAATTTACTACTGATTGATAATATACAGTTTGAAATTCACCTCTTTCAGTAGCATATTTTAAGCAGTTTCCCATGCTTTACACCAATATTTATATGTAATTTGTTTTTCTCTGCTAGGGAACTGCTTGCTTTTTTTCCTTAATTGCACTATGAAAATAATAAATATCTTATTCCCAATTAACTAAGTTGCATTTATGACTAACTTGCCAGATGAAAGATGAAATTTCCTTTAATGATAAGAAATCAGGTTCCAGTTAATTCAAAGGCTCAATGCATGCTATTTTCTCTTTGCCCAGGACAATTAAATTAGCCTGTCCTCTGCTCAGCCAACAGCTTGCTCGCCACTGTAATGGCCTGCGTGTAACTGCAAAGAGCTCTGAGTCCAATGGCCCAGGCAAGTCAGAGATCTTTCACTTATTTGTTTGTTTGACCTTCAGGAGGGTTGTAAGTAATTCAACTTTGATTTCCACCCTGGCAAAATGAAAATTAAAATACTTGTTCCACTAATGTTAAAGGGTAATAGGGAAAAATCAAATGAAATAAAGTATAAAATGCTATTTTGAATATTCTAAATGATAATATAAACGTGAACACCATGAAATAAGGAATGCACAGCTCATCTGGAGCTAAATGCTTACACTGAGACCGTGCAGTGATAGCTTCCTTAAATCGCCAAAAGTCCATCTTTAAACTTCGATATTTCTATAACTTAATTAAAAGTTTTTCATCATTGTTGCTATGGACTATGTATTTGTTGTCTCCCTGAAATGCACACATTGAAGCCCTACCCCCCATTGTGATGGGATTTGGAGGCACGGGTTTGGGAGGCAATTCGGTTAAGAGGGTAGATCATTCTCCCTCCCCCAACTCTCCCACCCCATAATGTCTCTATACGTAGAAAAACAGAGACCAAAGTCCTTTCTCTTCCCCTCTTTGGTGAGGACACAGCAAGAAGGTAGCCAGGAAGAGAGCCCTAAACAGGAACTCGATCTGCCTGCACTGCGCTCCCAGACTTCCCCATCTCCAGAACTCGGAGACTTGGCTTTGAGCCACTCTCTAGTTACGACAGCTCTGAGCGAAGCAACTGCATAGTCTTCTGGGCCTCTTCCTTCCCTGATGCAAACATTCTGAACCAAATGACTAAAATATGACCTACTCAAAAAGAGGAATAGAAGAAAGTCATGTCTGGATTCCAAAATAGAGCTCACATTGCCATTTGTACACAAATGGTAAAAAAGGGTACCCTTTTTTTTAAAAAAAAAATCACATAAATAGTGTCTTTTTTAAAATGGGTGATAATAATAATAGGAAGATGTCATCTAATTAGCCTCGAACTTCAAAAAGTTTCATAGGATTTAAAAGTGAGAAAATACAGCAAGCAAGCGAATTCTTCTGAAAATCATTTACTGGGGCCAGCAGATGGCATAATGATTATGTCGCTGGACTCTCACATAGTTGACCAGACCCGGTGGCTTGAACTCATGCCGGACACATGTGCGTGCGTGCATAAGATCCCAAAAGGAGAATGGAGGAGAAGGGATTGCAGCGTGGCCATCCCCCCTGGGAGGTGATTTCTCACTTTCTGTCTACCTCTCTCTGTCTTTCCAGCAAGTGCACGTGCCCTATAGCAAAACCCTCTCTTCAAAAAAACCATTGGCCTACTCAGTGCAACTGCTATTCCAGCAGTGAATCACAGAAAATTGCTAAAACCAACAAAACGGTATGATCAGTTGGCATTCGCTTATTAAAGATGTTCGTGATGGTGGATTTCTTTATAGGTGATTATTCTCTAACTTATTTCACTGGTTTAGGACAGTTCTTTCAGGAATAGTTTCTTAAGGATAAAATAAAATTTCACTTTCCATCGTGCATGTATGTGTGTTATTTATATTATATATTTTATTATAACATCACATATAAATTGCTTTAATTTATATTCCATTTACATTAAGGGAATACTGCCCCTCATGATAAATGCAATCAAGAGAACCTATGTAAGAAGAATTAGAAAAGCTGTAAGTTATTTTTTATTCATTAAAAAGAAAAAAGACAAATTTTTAAAGGGATGAATTTTGAGCATGCTAGTTTTAATTGCTACATTTGAGGACATTAATGTTCACCAATTTAATATAGTAATTGGGAGCCAAATGCGCCTTTAAGTTTGGGGAAGAAAATCCTATGGAGAATAAAATAAAAAATAGACATGAGTTCCTCTGATTGACCTGCTAAATGAATTATTTTCTCCTTACTTAGAACACAAACTACTTATAAATAATGTGCCATTTATCCAGACTGTAATGTATGAACGCCTTGATTCTTTTATCAAATTTTATGAGAATGCTGCAGGAATGTAACTCCAAAGCTGGTTCTAATATACATTATGGCAACAACTCAATTTACAAGACTCAAGCTCGTCCCACCCATATTCAAAATATTTTTTTAAAAAAACTGTTTTTCTTGGGGCCAGCAGGTGGTGTGGTAGTTAAGGCATTAGATTCCTACGTGGTTGACTGCAGTTCAAGTCCCACACCCAGTGGCTTGAAAAGCATGCTAAGCCCATGCACATGCATGTGTGCAAGTGTGCCCAAAATCTAAAGAGAATGGAGGAGAAGTCATTGTGACAAGGCCATCTCCCAGGGAGTGATTTCTCATTTTTCCCCTCTCTATCTCTCTCCAGTGAAGACAAGTACCTTATGGCAAAACCTAAAAAATAAAAAATAAAAATAAAAAAAGCTTTTCCTTCTCTCTCTCTCTCTCTCTCTCTCTCTCTCTCTGGTGAGTGCATGCACCCTCTAGCAAAATTATGAAAAATAAAGAACTAACTGCTATTAAACTATTCACAGAGCTTCTGAGCTACAACCTAAATACAAAAACAGAATATTTTTTGCTTTCCAGGAAATCTGGGTCATTTCCCCCCTCATCATTCAGCAGAGATGTTAATACGCACTTTCACATTTTTAATGGAAGTACAAAGCTTTAGTACCAAAGGTCAAAGTGAAAGGAGTAATAATGGGTTCATATCTCAATGACTGAATGAACAGCAAACTGCTAAGGAAATGTTTCCTGAGTTTTAATTTCTTTTTCTTTTATGATATTTAATAATAAACAGCATGCTCATACCTCTCTCAGGAGATTGGTGATGTACTTTACATGTAAAAATTCTGGAGTCTTGTCTAAATCCAGCGATGACCTTCCTTTAATCTCTTTCTCAAAATCTTCTCTGTAAACTTTCTGTTAAACAAGACCACACCATTTTAAAATGTAGAAAAGAGATTAAAACAGAAATTCCCATATAAAATGGATAATTTTACCACCTTTGGCATATTTTAGCAACAAGGAAATAAGTCCAACTTTATCATAAATTTTAGATGATCAAATACCAAACAAAAGCAAAATCATCACATGCCACCCCCTCTGGTAGATCATTCTGAGTGAGGCTGCTCAATATTGTATTAGTCTGTAGCCCATTGTAGGAGGGGAACTATAAGACTAGCCATTTGACTGCATCACCTGGTTAACGTATTCCAAAGAGAGTGGATCTACCCATTGACAGAAAATCTAGTGGTGTGGAATTCCATTAAAACCAAAGCAGAAGGGGCCAGCAGGTGGTACAGTGGTTGGGGCTAGGTTCATGACGTATTTATTACAAAGACAGGTAATTGTACAATTGCACAAATAAAGGAATTTCTCCAAACCATGAGGGGAGGAGAAGAGAAGCACATCACCTCCTCACTTCACATTTGTCTTACAGATGCCTTTATTTCGTAATTATCTGGGGCTGCATATACTTGTCCGAGGGAGACAGAAAGACAGAGAGAGAGAAAGCACCCCCCAGTGGGAAGTGGTCATGCCACAAATTCCTCCTCCATTTCTTCATCCTGTCAGGATCTGAAGCATGGACAAAGACACACTTGCTCTGTTTTTCAAGTTGCTGGGCTGGGATTCGAACCACAGTCAGTGGAATCCAGTTCCCTTAACCTCTAGGGTGTAGAACCAGCCCACAACTATTTAACAAATAATGCATGTACGGCCATGAGGAAAGACCATAATGGAAGCATGTAAGTCAGACAAGGCTGAAAACTTTGTTATCTAAACAATTATATTAATAGCTACACCAAGAACGATAATGAGAAACTCTTCTCTTTATGTGGAGTTAATCAAGATAATGTGGTTAGAAGGCTGAATCAAGGGCACTTCAAGGCCAAAAAGGACTTCTTACATGTTGAACTATAAATAGATACGTGCATTTATTTATCTACTTGTATTAACTATTTCACTTTAAAAAGTCCTCTCTGCAAAAAAAAAAAAAAAATAATTACTAAAGTAAGACATTAAAGGTTGACTATGCTGAAAACTGGCCAATATGTAGCTAGAAAAAGCAAACTCTTGGTATGTTTTTTGTTAGGAGAACTCCATTTGTGAAACAAGACAAAGACCTTTCTTCAAGGACAGATTTAGAGAGTTCTTCTGGAAAACACACTGATTAGAATTATATCTGACTTCAGAATAAAGTGAGATAAACATAATTATAGGCTATAGCAAAGACATTGGTGACTTCTCCTGGGGTCATAAATACTTAGATTCACCCGTGGGAGGCTCCTCAAGAAACTCAGTCAAGCCAGTCTCCTGGGAATAAAAACCACCTCTATAGCAGCTGGTTCTCTGTGTATCTACTTCACTGGTTTTATTCAAAGACAACTTGTACATCAAACTTCATCCAACTGAGATTTTTAAATACTTTATTCTTCTACCCTTTAGAGTATAAGTTCATGACAAAGTTTTTCTTTCTTTCTTTTCTTTTTTTTTAGGTTTTTGCCATAGGGTACATGCACTCACCAGAGAAAGACAGGGAGAGGGAGAGGGGAAAATCACCCCCAGTGGGGCATAGTCACAATGCAATCTGCAATCTCTTCTCCTTTCTCCTCTTGGAATTTTGGACACACATGCAAACAGTCAATATGATTTTCAAGCCATGGTCCAGGACTCAAACCATGATCAGCTATGTGGAAATCTAGCCCCTTCCCACCACACCACATGCTGGTCCTTCTAAAGATATTTCTATTGGGGACCAGCAGTTAGTGTAATGGCTGTGTCGCTGGACTCCCACGTAGCCGACCGTGGTTCAAGTCCTGAACCCGGCGGCTTAAACTCACGCCAGGTACATGTGTGTGTGTGCCCAAGATCCCAAGAGGAAGACGGAGGAGAAGGGATTGCAGCATGGCCATCCGCCCCCCACCCCCCACCCCCCGGGAATGATTTCTAGCTTTCTATCTCTCTGTCTCTCTCTCTGTCTTTCTGGCAAGTGCACACGCCCTATAGTGAAAAAAAAACCTCTCCAAAAAAAGAAAGAAAAAATATATTTCTATTGGAATATTTCACACTCCTTTACTTTGCTGAGCAGAAACATAATTGCTGAGAATTTAAAAAAAAAATTAATAGTTGGACCAGCCAGTGGCATGATGGTTAAGGTAATTAGATCCCACGTGGTCGATAGCATGATTCAAGTCCTGGATCTGGCAGCCTGAAAAACACATGCCAGGCCTGTGTGTATGCGTGCGCAAGAGGAGAATGGAGAAAGGACGGCAACATGGCCATCCTTCCTAGAGGGTGCTTTCTCACTTTCCCTCTCTCCTTCTCTCTCTTCAGTGAGTACATGAGCCCTGTAACATACTTTTTTAAAAAAATTATTTTACATCTTGGGGCCAGCCGGTGGCATGGTGGTAAAGGTGCTGGACTACCACATGGCTTACAATGGTTTGAGTCCCAGACCCAGTAGGTAGCTTGAAGATCACGCTGGGTGCATGTGTGTGCATGCCCAAAATCCCACAAAAAGAACGGAGGAAAAGAGATCACAGATTGCAGTGTGGTCACCCCCCGAGGGGGTGATTTATCACTTTCCTTCTCTGTGTCTCCTTCTATCTCTCTCTAGCAAGTGCACACGCCCTATAGCAAAAAACTAAAAAACAAACAAAAACCACAATTTTTTAAACCTAATAGCCAATGGCTATAATTAAAGAAAAAACATGTCTCACTTGGCAGGAGTGCAAGAATAAAACAGAGACTGCCATAAGAGATAAGGAGCTAAAATCCCAAATCATTCATTACTGTCACCTCCAATACAGAAACATGTATTAGACTTTATTAGCCAGGAGTTGCAGGTTCCAGGATTTCCAGAGGAAACCATGGGCCCAGATCATCAAAGGGTCCTCAGCATGATGTTTCTCTGACTGAAGCTCCATGCAGAGGGGAGGATGTCAAGGGAGACAGAGGGCAGAGGGGGACCCAGAGACAATGAGGCCAGGCCTGGGATGCTGATGTCTCCCTCCTGGTATCTTCAAAAAAATAAAGTGATTTTTGATCCCTGTTTCTTCTAGTAAGGACAGCTTCATGCAGTCTTAAACTTCCAGAAAACCCACTAAGTGAAAACACCGTGACAGCTCCTGAAAGTGAAAACCTTTCTCTGGGCTCTGGGTCAGAGATAACAGCCACATTATGGCTAAGAAATCAAGGAATTCATTAAAAAAAAAAACTGGCTCTAGCACACCTGAAAAGTACCGTGGCAATGGAAGGCAGTCAAGTGTTGTAAAGGGTGTGTAAAACCATCCCACGCTGTGACGTAAACGCACAAAGGTTATTCCTGTAACACGCATTCCATTACATGTCAATTTTTGTAGGGCTCTTGAACTTTGACCAAATTCACTAGTTCTGGCAATTCAATTAAAACAGCTAATTTAGTCAAATAATTATCTGACATTTCTTCATCAAATTCCCCTTTATTTGTATGACTTAAGGAGATCTAAGACATGAAAAATACAAGTACGTGGGGGCTTCAAAAAGTTCATGGAGGAGCCAGGTGGTGGCGCAGTGGTAGGACAGCTTGACCTACATGGGCGTGGTCCTGGGCTCGTGCCTAGGATCTCCCTGAGCACGTGGGCACATGTGCACGCCTGTGGTCCTGGCCAACTGTGTCTGCTGCAGAGTGAGGATCCTTCATGGGTGACAGGCTCTATCTCTCTCTCTCTCTCTTTCATTGGCAAAACAGATAAAAAAAACTTTTAAAATATGGCTTAAGTTTTTTTTAAAGTTCATGGAGGGGCCGGCAGGTGGCATGGTGGTTAAGGGTGCTGGACTCCCACATGGCAGACCATGGTTCAAGTCCCAGACCTGGCAGCTTGCTTTCTCAATTTTCCTCTATCTCTCTCTCTCACTCTGGCCAAATAAAAATAAATACATAAAGTTAAGCAAAATAAATAAATTCTTTTTTAAAAGATTCATGGAAAATGCCTATAATGAAAAAATTATACATAGATTTCAAAATTTTTGCACCAAAATAAACTTGTAGTTTTATTCCATTTTTCCATGAACCTTTTTGCAATCCTCTCAGAATTCTTTTCTCCTTTTTTACTAGAAGAAATTCTTTGAGGCTGGCAGGTGGCATGGTGGTTAAGGGCACTGGGCTTCCACATAGCCTACCACAGTTCAAGTAAAACAATTGGACCTGGAGGCTTGTTTTCTAGCTTTCTGTCTCTCTCTCTCACACTGTGTCCCTCTCTGGTCAAATTATAATTAATTAATTAATTAATTAACAATAATTATTTAATAAAAGAAGAAGAAATATTTTTAGAAGGTTTTAGGATAGAGTGAGTGTGCTTGCCAGAGAGAGAGAATCAGAGACAGTGAGAGAGAAAGTGAGAAATCACCCCTGGGGGACGACCACACTGCAATGTGTTTTCTTCCATTCTCCTCCTAGTATCTTGGACACACACACACACACAGAGGCATCTGGCGTGATTTTCAAGCCACTGGGTCCCCGAAGTAACGCCATTAGGACACAGAAAATGTCACTAGTGCCCAGTATGGGGACTGACGTGACTTAGCATTACCTTGGGTTGGGAATAAAGTGGAAAAGTAATACACAAACTTGATTATTGAAGAGAAAAAGAGAATCGATTAAAAAGCTAACAGAGAAAAAAGAATCATTCATAACTTTGACCAGGCCTAAAACACTGACATGTACTGCACACATAATTTGGGCAGGAACATTGTAAACCTAGGGATAATACCTTCCTAGCACCCTTACATGGAGGATTACGTGAGCTGACGTACAAAAGGCTCTTAGCATATTACCTAAGAAAGTACTTTAAAAATGTCAGTTTTATTGTCAATGCAAAAAAAAAAATGGATAAATAAAGCAACCCACTCTTCGTGTTCTTTTTAGTTTTTATGTATTTATAATAGTTTTACACTGACGCAATCTAAAAGTGTTGCTTACATAACTGGATGTTATTGCTGAGAGGCCTTTAAGAGCTCATCTCGCTTGATACCCTTATTTTCCAAATGGGGAAAACTAAGAGCCAGACAATCCAATGAGCTAGGCAGACCCCTGGCAGTGGGTGTAGGTCCCTGACGCTGCCACATAAGGGCTTTTTCTAGGCCCACTAAATATTCTAAGCCCCTTTCTAGATTCTTTTCAAATGTTAAAAAAAATGGGGCCAATAGGTGGCATGATGGTTTAGGGCGTTGGACTCCCACATGGCGGACCATAGTTTGAGTCCCAGACCTGGCAGCTTGCTTTCTCGTTCCCCCACCCCACCCCCCTCACACACTCTGTCTCTCTCTGGTCAAATTAAAATAAAGTTAAATAAAATCATTCTTTTTGAAAAATGTTTAAAAAAATCAAACACACAAGAAACAACTGATAACAAACCCAGTGACCTACCTCACTTTGCATCTTCTGAGCCTCCTTGGAAGCTTGATAAGATGGAGTCTCAACAAATTCAAGTAATGACTTCCCCTTATTCTTCTCATAGTCTTCTTTGTATTTAACCTTCATTGAAGAAAAATATAAAAAACATAAACTAGGAACAGAACGAAATAAAACATACATCTAAAATCAATCATCTTGCTTTCTCAAATCAAGTCTGACCACTTCAGACCACTGAGGTTGATCTCTGGGTTCCTTTTAGTTAATGACATACGAAGAAAGTAAACAGTAAATATATTTAAAATGTTAAGAGAGAAAAATAATTTAAAACAACTAAATAATCCAGTACTCAGAGGTATATAAATTGTTTAGTTAGGCCGGCCTATGTCCTGATGGCTGGATCCTACATGGCTGACGACGCCATTTGAATCCCAGACCCAGTGACTTGAAAAATACACCCAGTGTCTTTCTGACAAACGCACGCGCCCTATAGTATAAACCTCTCAAAATAAATAAATAAATAAATAAAATGATGGATAGTTTTTATCTCCTAATAACAAAAACTAAAATTACATGCAAGTTATTATAGTGGCAGATGATTTAAGCAATGTATCTTTTAAAATTAAATTCACAGAAAAGGTCTGATCACAATTCACTTCATTCAGAAATGTATTTTTATCAAAACTCTTATACTTAAGACTTAAGACATTATTTCTTGGGACCAGCAGTGAGTGTAATGGCTATATCGCTGAACTCACACGTAGTCAACCACGGTTCAAGTCCCGGACCTGGTAGCTTAAATTCACGCTGGGAGCGTGTTGCGTGTGTGCCCAAGATCCCAAGAGGAGAATGGAGGAGAAGGGACTACAGTGTGACCATCCCCCCTGGGGGGTGATTTCTTGCTTTCTGTCTGTCTCTCTCTCTTTCCAATGAGCACACGTGCCCTATAGCAAAAACTTCTGCAAAAAAATTAAATTATTTCTTAGTTTATAATAATGATGATGTCTGTGATACTTCAGCTCAAAAGAAAACTTCCAATACAACTTAGTGGTGACAGGAAAGTAACACATTTTTAAAGGTATGTCTATTTTTAAGACCTGTTTTTAAATCTATTTATACCTACCTGTATCTACTTTTATTGCAAGTAGTATGCTAGAATATGCAACTAAAGTGTTACAAGGATAATATCTGTTCTAGTTTATTTTGTTGCTAATGACAGAAAATGCCTAAAACTAGGTGATGAAAGGGAACAGAGGTTTATTCAGCTCAAAGTTTGGAGCTCCAAGGTCCAGACGCCACATCTGGGGAGACCGTATCACACCACGGTGGAGGGCAGGAGTATGAGCAGAACGGGCTGTGTTCGCCTGTCTCATTCCCGCTCCTTCTGAATCTACCGGGCCTTGATCATGGGGGCCCCACTCTAGTGATCTGAATCCTAATCTCTTCCCCAAGGTTCCACCTTTCAACACCATAGTCTGAATAAGTTGGCACCCTCTTTATTCATCTCTTTTCACCATCTTTACCCAAATCTCAATACATGATTAAGGCAGAGGGGACACCTAAACCACAGCAATACCATACCACTTTAGAATACCACTTTGTGGGGAAAACAAATGAAAATAAGAATTTAAAAAGAGAGAGAGAGAGAACATTTCTAAACCTTAAAGGGATGCTTATTTATTTTTAAGATAAATTAAGCTGGGTATGAAATTTGTTTTACAGAATACATTTAAAAGAGTAGTGTGGGAACCAGCAGTTAGCGTAATGGCTATGTCGCTGGACTCCCATGTAGTCGACCGTGGTTCGAGTCCCAAACCCGGTGGCTTAAAACTCACGCCAGGCGCGTGTGTGTGCGTACCCAAGATCCTGAGAGGAGAATGGAGGAGAAGGGATTGTGGCGTGGCCATCTCCCCTGGGGGGTGATTTCTCACTTTCTGTCTCTATGTCTCTCTCTGTCTGTCTGTCGAACACATGTGCCCTATAGCAAAAACCTCTCCAAAAAAAAAAAAAAAAGAGTAGTGTAAAATGTTAACAGGAGCTGACTCCCACATAGCCAACTGCAGTTAACAGATGCTGGAAACAACATCTTTTGCAATCATTTAAACTGAGAAAAACAATTTGTTAGTTTGTTTTTGTTTTTGCCATAGGATGTGTGCACTCACTAAACAAACAAACAGAATAAGAGGGAAAGTGAGAAATCACCCCAGGGAGTATGGCCACACTGCAATCCCTCCTTTACTCTCCTCCTGAGAGTTTGGGCATGCATGCATATGTGCCCAGTGTGATTTTCAAACCACTGGATCCAGGACTCAAACTGCAGTTGGCCATATGGGAATCAGCACCTTAACCACCACACCACCTGCTGGCCCCACAGAAAAATAATTTTTAATAAAAGATACCTGTTTCAACCTTAAAGAGTACTGAGATGAAGACATTTAAAAGTTTATTTTAGAAAGTACATAGAATTTCAGTAGTTGGAGGAAATGGTACTTTATTTATTTATGTATATTTTAAAGGTTTTTGCCATAGGGTACATGCATTCACTGAAAAGAGAGAGAATCAGAGACAGTGAGAAGGAAAGTGAGAAATCACTCCCCCAGTGGGGATGGCCACCCTGCAATTCCTTGTCCTCTGTTCTCCTCCTGAGATCTTGGGCATGCGTGCACATACATCCAGTATGATTTTCAAGCCATGGGGTCCAGGACTTGAACCGCAGTCATCCATGTGGGAGTACAGCAACATAATCAGTACGTCATTTCCTGGCCCTCATAAACAGTACTTTAGAATACACTGGTAAGACTGTTTTCCCTTTTTAATAACACTTAAAATTGAGGGACCAGCAGTTAGCATAATGGCTATGTTGCTGGACTTTCATGTAGTCAACTGTGATTCGAGTCCCAGACCCGGTGGCTTAAACCTCACACTGGGCACATCTGTGTGCATGCGTGCCCAAGATCCCGAGAGGAGAATGGAGGAGAAGGGATTGCAACATGGCCATCCCACCTTGGGGGGTGATTTCTCACTTTCTGTCTCTCTGTCTCTCTCTGTCTTTCTGGTGAGCGCACGTGCCCTATAGCAAAAATCTCTCTCTCAAAATAAATAAATAAATAAATAAATAAATAAATAAATAAATAAATAAATAAAATAACACTTAAAATTGAACTAAGAAATTGTAACAAACCCTGCACTTGGAAAGTTAATTTTGCAGCTTGAAATGGCAAACCAATACACCATAAAAATTCAAATCTTCATGACATCTTACCATACTTGCATTAATTCCTATATAGTGAGCTTTAATTATGTTAACTAACTGTTTTCTTTTTATGTATTTTATTGTAAATTTTTGTCACAGGGCACATGTGCTCACCAGAGAGGAGACAGACAGATACAGACAGAGGGAATGTGAGAAATCACTCCCTGGGGAGGGGGACGGCCACGTCGCAATCCCCTCCCTCCCCTCTCTTCTCGGGATTTTGGGCATGCGTGCACATGTGCCTGGTGTGGGTTTCAACCTGCCACGTCTGGAATTCAAACCTCAGTCGGCCATGTGGAAGTCCCATGCCCTAACCACCATGCTACCTGACGGCCCCAGTAACTGCTGTATTATGAGACACCTTTACAACGGAACGTGGCTCAGGCTCCCCTAACTAATAAATAAAGAGAGCAGCAGCTGTGCCAGCTTGGTGGTGCGGCAGCAACACCTGCTCAGTCTGTCCTGGGCCATAGCAAATATCCACTCCCCAGCTGACCTGGACGTGCTGGGCAGCTTTCTCTCGGAAGGATCTCTCGGAAGGAAGGAAGCAAGGGAGGGAGGAAAAGAAGGAGAAAAGGAAGTTAGGGAGGAAGGAGGTTAGGAAGGAAGGAAGGAAACCTTTTAAAGAGGACACAGTGTTTGAGATGTTCCGAAGCAAGATCAACATTCCCAGGACCTGTTCTTCCCAGCATCCACAGGTTCTCAGTCCAGGCACACAGCAGTGAGCAGAGGGCACACGGGCAGGGGTGGGGGGTGCCCGATGAGGGCGTACCTGGCTCTGGAGGGTGGCATTGCCTTTATGGTGCAGGTGTTCTGCAGCGTCTGCATCAAAATGATACATCCCTTTGTTTTCCTCAAAGAGCTTCTTATATTCTCGCTAAAATACAAACATGAAAACAGATGGAGAATACAAGAGACTGGTTAGAGCCATTAATCCCAGGAATGCAAACTAAACACTACAAGCCCCCGAGAGCTAGAAGCTCTTCTCCGGCCCCCATCTGCAGCTGGCCGGCATGTAAGAGATTCCGACACAGACACACAGACAACGCCAGACCGGCTCTTGTCATCCACGTGAACGGCACAGAAACACTCGAGAGATGCAGAGACCAGCCAGCCGTAAGTACACGTAAAGGATCTCCACGGCACCGAGGAGCGGCAGTGTGAACAGGCGAGATGGAGTCAAGGGCCAAAGAGCTGCACACAACCGCCCAGCCATGGAGAACGCAGGCAGGGCCCAGGAAGAGGAGAGTGAGAAAGTCATTGAACTCATTTTCTTTTAATGGAAAGGGTAGGAGGTACCTGGAAGAGAAACTGAAGAAAGTGGGTACAGTCAGCTGCGTTTTTAAAGTGAGGAAGTTAGATGAAGGCCACTATTGAAAAATACCAAAAAGGAGAATCTGGAAGAGGCCAGAGGAATAGGAATGCTCTGTCTGGCAACGGCAGGACTCTTAACTACACCAGGAAGCAAGACGTCAAAAACTGCTGTGGGCTCTGTCACAGAAGATGGGACACGTGGTTATTTTGCCCTGTTTGGAAGAGACGTTTAGAAGTAAACAGTCACTCTCAAAGACTCAAAGCGACAGAGACTGAAGAAGCTAAAATGAGTTTCAGTAAAAATGACAATTTGTACTGAGTGGAGAAAGTCATTTTCAGCACTTGAAAGGGAGCAAGGAGGAGCTGGCCTGAAAGACATTTCCATTCGGATCTCAGGAGATGCTCCAGGAACCTGACAGTCAAAGGAGAAGAAAGCTCCATGCCTGGGATGAAAGAACAGAAGCCTAAAGGACCTGTCTCATGGGAGCTGCTGTCCCATGAGGGGACAGAGGAGGCCTGGCCTCAAGAGTTCCCAGTGAACAAGGAACTAGCATGTGCACCCCAAACTCTCTTTTTTTTTCAAGAAGCATTATTTTATTTTAATGTTATTTATTTATTTATTTATTTATTTATTCTTATTCCACCAGAGAGGGCACAGAGTGAGAGAGAGGGAAAGTGAGAAATCAAGCTGCCAGATCTGGGATTCGAACCATGGTTGGCCCTGTGGGAGACCAGCGCCCTTAACCACCATGCCACCTGTCGGCCCTGTGTACCTCCAAACTTTAACCAGCATAAAATGAGGCTGAAAAGTGCCCCAAGATGGTCACAAAAATGCTTACCTCGTACATTTCACCAAAGAGAACAAGCTCTAAATTTTGGCCTCTTGACTAATTTTTTAAAAAAAGATACTTTCTAAAGATAGTAAGATACTTAGCAACTTTATATTTTGATTATTTTATAATTTCAAATCAAAAACTTCAAAAAGTTCATCGAAAATTGAAGTACAAGTTAATTTTACTACAAAAGAATCTGAAATGCAAGCTTAGTCTCTTAATAACGGGCATTTCTATAAACTGTGAAGATCTCTTGTATTTATAAAAATAATCATGACTTGAATGTGACAAGCTAGAACATATTGCACTACTGAGTTAAAATCCATAGCTAATAAAGCCCAGGATATTATCCCTGAAATAATGGATTTACACTGACAAAAGGTCAATAAATATTGTTCCCAGCACAATTCTCTACTGTAGTCCAGAGAATTTCAGAAACTACTGTTTAGAAAAACAAACAAAATAATCCAATTCAAATGAAGATCTGTAAAAGAAATTTCTAATACTTGGCTTATCAGTCTCTGTTGCCTCCTAGTGGGAGCTCTACAGAGTAACATAAAATATATATTTTAAAATTTATGTAAAGTTATAAAGGATTCTGGAAACAACAAGAGTTCTATTTTCCGGGGGGGACTGTCCCCTAGAAAACTTAATTAGCATGGCCGTACACATTTAGAAGGCGTTCGTTTCACTACACGCAATACATGCTAAAATAAAAAGAATTGTGATATATAACAAAGACATTTGGAGGTCTTTAAACAAAAACAATTTGTGGGTGGCATGGTGTAGGTAAGGCACTGGGTTCCCACACAGCCAACCATGGCTCGAGTCCCAGACCTAGGATTTGAAAATCATTCAGAACACAAAAATCCCAACCAGAGAATATCAGAGAAGGGACTGCAGCATGGCCTGTCCCTGGGGTGTGAATTCTCACTCTCCCTCTCTCTCTGTCTCTCTGATCAGCACACATGCCCTGTGGTGAAAACCTAAAAAAAAAATAAATAATAAAAATTAATAATTCATAGCTAATTTTGACAGAGTATCTGTTTACAAAGTCACCTCTTATTTAATCTTATAATAAAATTGAGTTGTCTTTATAAATCAACAAAATGGCAATGCTCTTTCTATTAAAATGTGAATGGCTATTTTAGTGTACAATAAAGTTGTATTATTGTACAAATTTAACAAATAGGGACCTTGGAGTGATGCAGGAATGTTTTAAGTCTTAAATCTTCTCTCTCATGAAATAACGATTCAGTCACGATTATTCTATCAGAAAAAGAAATATATCTGAGATCTAGGCAAAAGCACCTGTGGAATGAAGATTTTAACTTCATAAAGGATACATACGTGTAATATATAACTTACATATTTCTCTGTTGAAGAGAAACAATTTATACTAACTGTGATTTTTTTCACCATTATAAAATAAAGGGCAACATTCTTTTAAAAATAAAATTGCCTATGAGTGGTACGTCTTCCTCCAGCTACACATTTTTAAAATTTCCACCATGATATTGTTACGTGCTTATTACACCTGAATCTGCATGTCCCTAAAAAAGGTACCCGAGTAGGAATGGGAAATAGTCGAAGGCACACACCACTGCAGTGATCAAAACGGGAAGCCAAAGACAGAATGTAAAGAAAAGGCAGGGCTCTGAGAAGAGAACGCCATCAATGGAAGCCTGTGTACGGGTCCTGGAGAAGGGATAGCTGACCGTCAGCAGAGCTGCAGGAATAAGCGTTCAAATGGTAGGACCACGTGATTTAACTGTCCTGACACTGCGCGCTACTTCTGGGCCTATCAATATTCCTCTAACCCCTTCCTTGCTCAACCGCCTGGAAAGAATGGCGTACTGCTTTTCACCTAAAGACCAATCCTTCTGGGGGGGGCGGGGGGGGGGCGGGGGGGGGTAGGAAGAGGAAAAGGAAGGGGAAGTGGAGGGCAAAGAGAAGAAAAGGAAAAGGAGAGAAAAGGAGGAGGAAGAAAAGAAGAAGAAGACATTTTAATTTGCAAGTATGAATTATTGGGTCATTGAAAAGTCATGATGCATTTTTGCAAAGACAAATTCGTCACAATTTTTCCAGTGACCCCATATTTATATGTAATACATTTCGAGAAAGATGACAGTCAGAGCAATGTGGAAGAAAGGGGCTTACAAAAGTCACAAACAAAAGTATAATGTATCAAATCCAAAAATGGATCTCTTCGATAGTGAACGGAGCTGTAGCTCATTAATTAACAGTTTGGGCACTAAGTTTTGAATACAGATTTCTACATCACGACTGTGGACACGTCTACCAAAGACGAACATTCTCGCATTTTCTCAAGCCTTGCCCAACATATATTTCTCCATCTGATTTGTGCCTGGCTCAAAGCAGATATTCGATAAAGAAGGATGATTTTGGTGAGTGAGTGAGTGAGTGATTATTAAAATAGGCATGGAACTAATTTGAGGTCATGCTAGAATTCTTTATCACCATAGTGCATATGGAGATGTATGAAATGGGGCCACACGTGGCCCGGGGTCATGAGTTGTGAGAACCAGCAAAGTTAGGGTCCAGACACTGGGCAGTCAACCCAGCACCCAGGAGGCAAGACTTCTGAGGGACTGACCACCTAGGCACTGAATAAATATTTTTCTCAGAGTGTGAAAACTCACCCTCTCCTCCTAACTGCCTTGACAGAGAACATGGAAGCCATCCCAAGACCAAAAGTATAGTTTTAATGAAACATACATGCCTTTGGAATTTATTTTCAAGGAAAATACAATTCAGACTAAGACCATCTTTATTCTGCTGAAGGCATACAAAACAAACAAACAAAACAAAAACCAGACACTCTGGTGTGGCCTGCCTAAAATCAAAGATCCCCAACTCGTGAGCGTGTAAGTGGCTCACCCTAACACCGGGATGAAGGGGGAGAGGGGAGACAGAACACAACACTGACACCAACACCTTGTGTGGATACTACAGAGCTGGTGGGAATCCCCCTTGTCAAGCGACAGCTCTGTGAGGTTCATGCAAGGCCCACTGCTCTTCAGTGAGTTAGTCGTGGGGGAGCGGTGACCCCCAGGCACGCCCAAGGAAGCAGTGAGCTCATAAACACCACAGGCACATGGTGGCTGCTCAGAGCCACCTGGCAGTCGCCATCAAACACCCACTTACTCCACTGAGCATTTTGCTGGCTTTCAAAGCATGGTCTAAAAACAACAAATTTGGGAGATCTGCAACTGGATCGTGCATAGTTTGAACGTCTTTCTTGTACTTCACCTATGAAAATAACATGGAACAAAATACCGTCTAGGAGAAGAAAGCAGTATGTGCTTGCATTGCCATTATTTTTTTAAATACATCAGATGGGTACTGTTTGGTGGTAAACCGACAGACGAATTTATAGGCAGCCACTAGATGGTGCTCATTTACTACTGGATGAGTAAAGAGAAAAAAAAAAACAGGTTATTTCTATGATTTTGAAAATATTTTGATAATCCCTTTTACTGTGTACATATTTAGAAAGGGTGATGTGAGGAGAGCACATTTTAACAGAACTGTTAAATCACATGTCTGTGTGATTTTTAACAGAAACTCTGCTTTCCAAAGATAAAAAGAATGGTAACTTTATTCCTTTTTTTTTTTTTTTAAGAGAGATTTTTGCTATAGGGTGTGTACACTTGCTGGAGAGACAGAGAAACAGAAAGCAAGAAATCACCCCCTCCCCCCAGGGGGAACAGCCACACCATAATCTCTTCTCTTCCATTCTCCTCTCAGGATTTTGGATACACATGTCCACATATACCCAGCATCCTTCGGGTCCAAGATGCAAATTACTTTAGGCCATGTGTGGGTCTAGCAACTTAACCATTACATCATCCACTGGTCCCAGAACTTAATTATTTAGAAATTATTACAGTATTTATGATTTGTGGTAATTTTAAGGCTTGAAGGTATCTATCATCCTACTGCCACAGAGTTGCTTTTTAGCAACTGCTTTGAAAACACAATAGTACCAATAATAATGAAATATTAATAACAGCAAACATACTGAACACTTAGTACATGCCAGACACTTTTCTAAGCACTTTACATGTACTAAGTTTTAATGCCTTTAATTATCCTAGCAGATAGCCATTTTAAGTATCCCCATAATATGGATGAAGAAACTGAAGCATGGAAAGATAAAGGCATAATAAGAAGTGATGGCGGGCTGGCAGGTGGCGTGGTTGTTAAGGTGCTGGACTCCCACATGGCTGACTATGGTTTGAGTCCCGGATCTGGAGGCCTGCTTTTTCACTTTCCCTTTCTCTCACTCTTTGTGTCTCTCTCTGGTCAAATTTAATAATAATAATAATAAAAAATTTAAACAAAAAGAAGTGATAGAACAAGATTCAAATCAAGACAACCTGATTCTAAACTCTGAACCACTATGCTCTAGGTCCTTTAAGTACATTTCATTTCTATTTCCTGTGTATTTATATATACACCAAAAAAGAAAAAATGATCAAATAAGAAAAATTATTCTTTATTTCCAGTGAAGTCTGTCTCTAACTCTCTCTCTCTCTCTCTCTCTCTCCCCCCCCTTCTCTCTCAGGTGTGTACACAGGCTTTATCATGAATAAAGGAAAAAATGTTTTTAAAAGAAGGAAACTCTAAGTCATTAAAGTACAATTTCTGAGCATGTCTTTATGGTAAACCACCGTGTGCAGTTACAGTGGCCTCCCCTCTTATCTGCGGCTTTGCGTTCCACGGTTTCAGGTTTCCGTTCTCCAATGTCCCTCGCATTGGGTAAACAGGTGAGTATAGCATAAGACATTTAGAGAAAAAGAACCATTCATATAACTTACAGTGTGTTGTTACAACTGTCCTATTTTATTATTAGATGTTGTTAATCTGTGCCTAATTTAGAAATAAATTTTCATTATAGGTATGCACTTTAAAAAATTTAAAATCATGGTATATATGTATAGGGCTTGGTATTACCCACAGTTTCAGGAATCTACCAGGGGTCTTGAAACCCTCATTGATAAGGGAGGTTCTACTGCAATACTTTACAATAAGCCCAATGTTGTGGGCATAATTAGGTGAGTTAACTATGACCCTAACCACTGCTTTGTAATAATACGCTTTTTTTCTGCAAAATTCTGTAATCTATTTTTATTCTCAATCAAAAATTAAATTTGTAATATTATTCCTACATATTAACTGATCAGTAACCATGACCTGTAATAGTACAATAATACAGTTTTCTCAAAAATGAATTTTTTAAGAAAAATACGCTTCAGTGTTTTCAAATACAAATTATTTGAAAATCACACGATCTTGATTAAATATCAGTAATTATGACACAGTCAATTTCAAGAAAACAAGAATCAAAAGATACTGAAAATAATTTTCTATCGATGACAACTTACATTACTCGCCAGGGTAGCAGCAAGTTGATTTTGTCTAAAAGAAGCACTTTCAAGAGGATTGTAATGATGCTTCTTATCCTTCATTTCATTATCAAATTTTTCTCTGTATTTAATCTGTCATGAAAGAAAATACAGAATAAATTAAACAGCATGATTATCTTTAAGTTTAAAACTAATACATTTTATTTTGAAACAGATCAAGTAAAAGCTACCTTAAGAATGAATGGTAGCAAAGTTTAAGTCTGATATCCATCCCCCTCTATAAAGCTTAATTAGGCATAAAAGTTGGAAGGAAAAAAAAGCTCTACTTGAACATTGATCATGAATGCAATTAGGCATGAACTCAAATCCTATTAACTAGAATTATGCACTGAAATATCAAGATTTTTAAATGTCAGTTTCCATTTCTGCAGTCCTATAATCTACGATCAATTAGAAATTGAGACCACAAATGTCTTAAGGTCGCCCTCATTTAGAAAATGAGTTCTAGGCCCCAGAATTCGAATACAGATTTTCCTAAGGGAATTATCCCAAATAAAAGAGCATGGTTTTTACTTTTTTCCATAAATCTCTATATTTCATTGATTAAAAAATTCATTTATAGGAAGTATATTTTCTCAAATGTCCTGGGTCTATTTAATGTCATTAAAAAAAATTTTAATCCCACGATTTATTCAGCAGAGAAACTATCAGCAATATTCACTCTAATTAGAATATAGATACAAGTTTCCTACAAAAACAAAACAAAACAAAACAAAAAAACTAGCTACTCACATATCACACCCTCTTTGATCCGCTAGCCAGGAAAGGATCCATAGAATTCAAAAGCAAAAGGAAATCATTTGGTTCTTAGAGTATCTCTCCAGCATTACCATTCTTAGAATATTCTGTTTTCTTCCAATGGTCTCATTATGCACCTTTATGTATCTAAAGCTCTATCTTGCAGAAACTGTTATTAAAAATAAATTATGAGCCAGCAGTTGGTGTGGAAGTTAAGAAGCAGGATCCCACATGGCCAACTCTGTGGTTCGAGTCCTGGACCCAGTGGCTTGAAAATCAACACGGGCAAGTGCATGCATGCCCAAAATCCCAAGAAGATAATGGAGGAGAAGGGATTGTGCATGGCCATCCACCCTGGGGATGATTTCTCACTTTCTCTTGTTCTTGCTCTCTCTATCTCTTGCTTGCAAGCACACACACCTTATAGCAAAAACTCGAAAAAAGATAAAGCACTTTGGAGATGGCTCATGTAATCCAGCTATATAGAGTGATAGTCTTTGTCAGAGGTAAGTATCTTGTACCACTAGAGGGAGCTGGTGAACATCTCAGGGGAAATACATCTGGTATTTCAAACATCAGGATTGTTTATGGGAGACATATCCTGCTCGGTTCCATTTTATAAAAACAGCTTTCCAATACTTACATTGTCTTATAAATTCATTCTAAATAATTGGCAAGGCCTCTCTAAAACAAACAAACAAAAAACACTCTGATTTTTTTTTTTTGAAGGGGGTATCATTGTAGGTCTTGAAATGAAGAACAATGTAACAAGTGGAATACATGGCGATTTCCCTCCATACTTTATGCAGCAGTTAGCACAAGAGCAGTGTCCTGGCCTGGTCCTCCCTGAACACAATCCCATGCCCTTTTCACCCTTCCACACTCCCCCAGGATGACACTCATCACTGTCCGGTGATATTTTGTCCCCTGGGTTTTACTGTGCATCCACAACGATGGTCAGCCCTGACTGACTCCAGCTTTTTTATTTTTTTATTTTTTTTAGGATTTTGCCACTGAGCACATACACTTGCCAGAGAGACAGAGAAGGAAAGTGAAAAATCACCCCCCACGGAGGACAGCCATGCAGCAATCTCTTCTCCTCCATCTTCCTCCTGGAATTTCTGGCATGCACACACACACATGCCCAGCATGATTTCCAAGATGTCAGGTCCGGGACTCAAACCATGGTCAGCCATGTGGGAGTCCAGCACCTTAAGCACCATGCCACCTGCTGGCCCTGATTCCAGCTTTAATGATACTCCTGATTGAGCCAGAATCACCAACACCCTCCACTTACTGAGTCAAACATTCTCCTTCCTAGCCACAGTACAGTGACTCTTCTCCCTTGGTAGTTGTTTACATCCAATCAACTGATCTAGCTCTGCAACGCTGACTTGTAAGTTTGCTTTCGGTTATTTGTATTCTCCTTACATCCAATCAACTGATCTAGCTCTGCAACACTGACTTGTAAGTTTGCTTTCGGTTATTTATATTCTCCATGAGTATCTTATGAGTATCTTACCATAGAGTGTATTAGCCAAATGGAAAACTAGGTTATTCGATCTTTGCACACAGAGCCTGTTGGATGGCTTTTGTGTACCCTGGAGTTCCCTTCACAATTACACTGGGAGCAAAGGCAATTCAATGAAAATGACAAATTCTTATCTGTTATTAAATCTGGCATTTGCTCTTCCAAGTAAATGTATATTTCTGGGGGAAAAAAATAGTCAATCTGTCATTCCTGTACTTATACTGGATGTAATAACAAGCACAGAATTGTGAAATTTATCTTATTGGAAGCTTCGATACTCTGAATGATTAGATTCAAAAGATGCCTAAAGAACAAAAACACAAGAGTTTCCCTCATTTATTAACCACAAAGTAAAACAACCGCATTAAATGTAAAATACACTGACCAGACTCTGAAACTCAACTGTTTACTTCATTCCTTCCCTAAGGTTTGCACATACATGAACTAAGAAAATAACTAAATGATCTTAGTGGGTCGCATCTCTCACCTTCTGACTGACTCATGTGCTTGACCACACAGATACACTCTACATTTTATCCTGTTTGTATTTCTTAATTACCAGAAGACTCATGCACTTACCAGGGATAGAGGCAGAGAGAGAGAGAGTGAGAGAAGGAGAAAGCACCCCCCAATGGAATGTGTTCACATTACAATCTCTTCTCCTTTCATTTCTCCGTCCTTTCAGGATCTAGGGCACAATGAACTTGTACTTGGCATGTTCATCTGGCCTATGGGGCCAAGATTCAAACTGAGGTCGGTCATGTGGGATCTGACTCCCTTAAACCACAGGCTACAGGGCCAGCCCTACTGTATTTTCAATTTACAGCCCACCCCGCTGAATGTCCACCTCCTCGTACCCACTCACATCTCCAGAGAGATCGGGGAGTGCTTTCCTTTGACTATAACTGGCTACCTAATTGTAGGATAAAACATACCCTTTCTGGTTTTAACACCATTGGAGGAAAAGAGAAATAGGTTTTAAAACACAACGTCCTCATACCTAGATCAGTTATTCTGGAAACAAATCAAGTTACTTTGTCCATTTGACTGGCTTTATTTACATTGTGAACATCATACCTAGTGGTCCTGTTACCTAGCACTTGTCTTTGTTTGTTTGTTTTTGTTTTTGTTTTTTTACACACAAGATAGGGATATGGAACTGAACTTCTTTAAAATCTTTCTAAAGAATATTAACAGACTGGGGTTAGATGGTATTACAGAGGTAAAACATGATGTTCTGTGAAGGTGACACACATAGAAAGGTATCCAGAGACCTCCCTGAGTATGCCAGGCATGCACATGACCATGATCTGGGGCTGGCTGACTTGGGGGTGGATTCAGAATTGAGGTCCTGTTGAGGGTGCTGGCTCTTTGTATTTCTCTGTCTTTCTTACAGAAGAAATAAATAAACTTTTTATAAAATGAATTTTTTTATAGAGAGGTTTTTGTGATTGGGCACATGCGCTCACTGGAGAGACAGAGAGACAGAAAGCAAGAAATCACCCCGTGGGGGGATGGCCACGCCATAATCCCTTCTCCTCTAGTTTCCTCTCAGGATTTTGGCCATGCACATACACACGCCCTGTGTGAGTTTTAAGCCGCTGGGTCCAGGATTCAAACTGCAGTCAATGATATGGGAGTCCAGCAACGTAACCATTACACCATCTGCTGGTCCCATAAAATGAATTTTAACAGACTTAGCAGGACTTTCAGAGGTTCACACTTGCAGAAAATATCATGGCTGCAAGTTACAATGATATGTGACTTAAACTAGCTCTCAAACTGTGTTTGGACAGAGCAGCATCTGCATGGTGCAAAGCTGACTTCCAATTCCAGTGTGGAAGCTGTCGCCACGAGGGGTCCAGGCTTCACCATGACAGACCTTTGGCTGAGACTTACAAAGAGCCCGCCATATTGAAACCACTGGTTTCCTCTCCTGGGTTTTTACAGCCTCCAGGTATTCACTCAACAACAATGATAGGCCCTACCTGATTTCCACTTGAATACAACTCCTGACTCTGCCCAAGTCACCAGCACCCTCCAGGGAGTCGTGCGTTCTCACTACTGCCATGGTAAGCTGGTGGGTACTGGGCTGGACCATGACACAACCAAGACTCAAACTCACCAAGAGCCAGCAAGAGCAGAAAAAAAGCAGTCCCTGAAAAAAAAAAGGTTTCTCATTGCAGCCACATAAACAAATGTTAGGAATGAAATGGAAAATGTGAGAAGCATACCTTTACGATGACTGGAAGTGGTAAGAAAGTAAATAACCTCCAACTACCTATAGGCACTGCTTCCCTCCAATTCTGGATGAAATTAAACTAAAAGCTGTCTAGGAATGTAGGAAAAACACATCTTTATGTAGAACTTATCATAGAATAATTTTTTAAAAATAATTAGTTTAATTTTATTTATTTATTACTATTATTTTTTCACTTTGATCAGAGAGATATAAAGAAGAGAAAGAGAAGGAAAGTGAGAAAGCAAGCTATTAGGTCCAGGACTTGAACCACAGTTAGTCATGTGAGAGTCCAGAACCTCAACCATCGCACCACTTGCTGGCCCGAAAGATATGTTTTTTAAGTCTGAATGTTATATAAAAGAATATATCTGTCCTTACTTTTCTTTAAAAAAATAACATCTTACTGACTTTGCACCAAATGTTAATGATCCAGAGAAAATTTGTTTCATCAGCCTAGATATGTGTGTGTGTGTGTGTGTGTGTGTGTGTGTGTGTGTGTATATATATATATATATATATATATCGACAGCTAATCTGTGTTACTCTATTATGGTGGAGCAA